AAAGCAGAGAAATGTCATGCCAAGTGAGAAGCAAGCATGAAGGTCCAGAAGACAAAGTAAGGCCCAAATCCTCTTGGCTTCAAAGGACACAGCTAGGAGTTTGGATTTTATTCTAAATCTGGGGGCCATTTTAATGTTTTCAAAAGAGTTTTAAGCAAGAGAAGAGGATAATCTAATTTATGTGTCAAGAGGTTCATTCTTGCTGCTGCGTGGGGACTGGGCTGGAGGAGGTAGTGTTCTGGAAGTGTAGAAGTGGATTTTTAAAGGGACTGTGCAGGACCAGACACACTGCCGGTGAGAATTCCCACCAAAAAGGCAGATAAGGCCCGGTAAAGTATGGGAGCAGATCTGAAGCAGGTCTTCCCAGAATGCTCCAAGCGGTCTGCCTACACTGCAAACCATTCCTCACTGGACCCTCCCCAGGAGGCACACCACTCAGAAGAAGAGCACAAATGCCAGCCCTTCCATGTAACCACCCCGCTTCCCCACCGGACTCCCCTAGTCTTTTCCTTCCTTCTCACATAAATCTCAGGAGCTCACCCTTACATGAGAGCTGGTGGAGTGCCTGTCTTTCCCCTCCTCCCAGACTCAGGGCTTGCTCAGTCACAGGATCTATGCAGCACAGTCTATTCGTAGCGTCAGACCAGGACCCTGGATTTTCTGCTGCTGATGACACAGTTAAAGCAATCCCCTCACCTTGTCCCCAGCTTGGGTAAATTGTAGAAACTTAAGTTCTTTAGGCTGCCACTTACACTTGCATTATGAAAATTAAAAAAATAACAATAAAATAATAGCAAATGCAACCTAGAGATTCTTTCTCTTCCAGAGAGTTGATGGAAATGTGGGACTGATGTTTCCATAAATCCTTCCTAAATCAGACAAGTGGCCATTGGGGCCCCTTCCAGTAGAGGCTTTCTTCCTCAGTTCCAGCTCCCACTTCTGAGGCCTACTCAGAATGGGGGACCCTCGTCACAGGGCCCCGGCCCGGGCAGCCGAGCCTCCAGGAACGCAGTAACTGCGAGAAGGCAAAGAACAGGAGCCACCAACTGCACCACCTGTGGCGGGGAAGTCTGTTGCTGGACACAAAGCTGTGCCTGTAACACACAGCTGCTCCCCTCACGAGAACCTGCTCCTCAGCGTCATCCAAGTTTGCTAGTGTTTTTACTGGAATTCCCAATTCCTGTGCCTTTATAACTGACCTAAAAAGACAGTGCCAGCTGGCACATGGCCCAGATTCGGGAGCCCCAAGGGGTGTGCTTAGAGGAGCAGGCCCAGCCCTGGGAGGCCAGCACCATGTGGTGACGCAGCGGAGGAAGGGGAGAGTGACAGCAGGCAGAGGGAGTAGTTATCAGAGGAAGGAAGACAGAAGGGAAGAGCTTCTGAATAACAGTTCTTTGGGGAATGTAACAAGTACTCGCCTCTAAATTAACTTTCTCCTTCCCAGTCCAATAATCCAGATGACTACTAATTTCAAAGTAATAAAAATTGTTTTATGTGGGGCTTCCTATATAAGTCCTTAGGGAGTTCTTTGACATGCATTATGGCACATTTTAATCTAAGTTCTACACTTTAATTGATCCATTGAAAGATAATGTTAGAACTAAAATGTACTTTTATAATATCTTAACCCCCAGGATGATAATTGATGATTAAAATTCATTTAGAGCCTGAATTCCAAGTCAGAACAGCAAAAGGATTAATTAGTCATGTACATCACTTAGGTTTCTCAGCTACGTAATCAATTCAGTGAAAACTGTTTTTTTCTTTTTTCCAAAATGGTAACAGCTTTTTACTTTGTCTAATGTGTTAAAAAAATTCCTTCAGTATGGCAAGTATAGAGAATATAAAAATCATCCTGGATCCCCACAATGAAAATTTAGCACAGTTAATATTTCTATAACAGCCTTCCAAAATTTTTCATAAGCATATATGCACATATGAACTTTTCAAAATTAAGATGTTATCCATACAGTAGGTCACTCATTAATAAATTTTTATTACACTGTTAACATTTACCTATGTCAAAAAAATAGTATTTTTCAACATCACTTTTATTGGCTACTTAATATTCCATTTTATGTACATGCCATGATTAAGTTACTCAATCTCTTATTGATAATCATTTGGATTGTTTCCAATGTCATAAAAAACTATAATTAAATATAACTATAGAAAACTTTTAAATATGAGTGGTTTACACTTTTCTCTACAAATAAGTTTGAATATCTGGACAAAATACATTATTTTCTACGAATATGTAAATTATCAAACTGCATACAAAAAAGGATAGGACTCTTAAACAGATTAATAAGTATAGAATTTTTTTAAAAATAGCCAAAAGTTAAGACACTCTTGAGAGTAACTAAAGAAGACACCACTAAATGGAAATACATCCCATGCTCATGAATAGGAAGAAGTAATATTGTTAAAATGGCATCCTGCCTAAAGCAATCTACAGATTCAAAGCAATCCCTATCAAAATATCAACAGCATTCTTCAAAGAACTAGAACTAATAGTTCTAAAATTCATATGGAACCACAAAACACCCCGAATAGCCAAAGCAATCCTGAGGAAGAACAAAGCTGGGGGCATTATGCTCCCCAACTTCAAGCTCTACTACAAAGCCATAGTAATCAAGACAATTTGGTACTGGCACAAGAACAGACCCATAGCTCAACGGAACAGAATAGGGAGTCCTGATATAAACCCACATACATATGGCCAATTAATATACAATAAAGAAGCCATGGATATACAATGGGGAAATGACAGTCTCTTTAACAACTGGTGTTGGTAAAACTGGACAGCTACATATAAGAGAAAGAAACTGGATTACTGTCTAACTCCATACACAAAAGTAAACTCAAAATGGATAAAAAATCCGAATGTAAGTCATGAAACCATAAAACTCTTAGAAGAAAATACAGGTAGGCAAAAATCTCTTGAATATAAACATGAGCAACTTTTTCCTGAACACATCTCCTCGGGCAAGGGAAACAAAAACAAAAATGAACAAATGGGACTACATCAAACTAAAAATCTTCTGTACAGCAAAGGACACCATCAGTAGAACAAAAAGGCATACAGAAGAATATATTCATAAATGACATATCCAGTAAGGGGTTGACATCCAAAATATATAAAGATCTCACATGCCTCAACAACCAAAAAACAAATAACTCTATTAAAAAATGGGCAGAGAACCTGAACAGACACTTCTCCAAAGAAGAAATTCAGATGGCCAACAAGCACATGAAAAGATACCCCACATCGCTAATCATCAGGGAAACGCAAATTAAAACCACAATGAGATATCACCTCAGACCAGTTAGGATGGTGAACATCCAAAAGACAAGCAACAACAAATGCTGGCAAGGATGGGGAGAAAGAGGAACCCTCCTACACAGTTGGTGGGAATGTAAATTAGTTCAACCATTGTGGAAACAATATGGAGGTTCCTCAAAGAACTAAAAATAGAAATACCATTTCACCAAGGAATTCCACCAAGGATTTATTGGATGTATCTGATTCATTTTACCCAAAGAAAACAAGAATTTACCCAAAGAAAACAAGATGCCAGATTCAAAACATGCACCCCTGTGTTTATCGCAACACTATTTACAATAGCAAAGAATGGAAGCAACCTAAGTGTCCATCAGTAGATGAATGATAAAGAAGATTTGGTACATATACACAATGGAATATTATTCAGCCATAAGAAGAATACAAACTCTACTATTTGCAACAACATGGATAGAGCTACAGGGTACTGTGCTCAGTGAAATCAGCCAAGTGGAGAAAGACAAGTATGAAATGATTTCACTCATTTGCGGAGTATAATAACAAAGCAAAAACTGAAGGAATAAAACAGCAGCAGACTCACAGACTCCAAGAATGAACTAGTGGTTACCAAAGGGAAAGGGGTTGGGGAGAGTGGGTGGGAAGGGAGGGATAATGGGATAAGGGTCATGACGATTAGCACATATAATGTAGGGGGAGCATGGGGGAGGCAGTATAGCACAGAGAAAGCATGTAGTGACTCTATAGCATCTTACTACGCTGATGGACAGTGACTGTAATGGGGTGTGGGAGGGACTTGATAATATGGGGGAATGTTGAAACCACAATGATGTTCATGTGAAATCTTCATAAGATTATATATCAATGATACCTTAATAAAAAAATAAATAGCCCTAAGTCTATCCCTCCAAAAGTGCCACATCCAGATGGCTTTCCAGGTGAAATCTCCCAAATCTTTAAAAATTCTATTTTTAGTATTCTAGAAAATAGAGAAAGAAGGAAATGCTTTCACATTTTCCTTAGAAATTCAGAATAACATTGATACCAGACCCAACAGAGATGGCATAGAAAAGGAAAATAGATCATTATCACTTCTGAATATCAATGCAAGAATTCTAAGTATAATTTAGCAAATATAATCCAGATTAAATGCATAAAATACCAAAGACCCAGAAGAATCCATTCCAGCAATTATTACTGATTATTACAGGAAATCTAATATTTTAAGGATTGAATGAGTCTACATATATATAGACTGCTTAGAACAGAACTTAGCACATAGCCCTATATCAGTATACATAAGAACATAAGTAGATACATATAACATTAAAAAGCCAAGATCATGAATGAATAATAAAACACAAAAAACCACTGTCATGAAAGTCAGGAATAAGAAAAGAATATTCAGTCAACATTACTATTTAAATTTTTGTTCTGAAAACACTAGCCAAGTGGTCAATCAAGAGAAAATTACAACTTATAGAAATATAGAAAAGTTAAAAATGGAATTATCGTTATTTGTAGATAAGATTCTATTCCTGAAAATACTAAGATGAACAACTGACAACCTATTAAAAACAATAGGGATTTATTGGATGTATCTGATTCATTTACTACCCCCAAAGAGAAACTGAGAGAGAAAAATGAAAACAAGCAAAAAGTGATATAAGCTGGGAACCTGAACCTTTTGAAAACTCACCTTGGCAATTTAATTTGGGGGACTCCCATGTGCCCAAGGCTGTGCAGCTTGAAACTGTATCTTCTGAATCACTGAGAAATCCTTCTTTGCAGGCATAACGAACCTGGCTGCCAAGCCTAGAGGTATAATTTCCTATGATATAACCATCTGGGACTTCAGGAGGGGCACCACAGTCTATTTCTGAAAATAAATTAATGTGAAACTCATTATTATGTGAATGAGATTTTTTTTTAATTTTAATCTCTTTCTACCTTTACCCCATCCTTCCCCCTAACACACACACCCCTGAGCCTTATTTTACATAGGCTGGTTTATTTCCACTTGACTTCTGCACATGTTCCAATGATTGTCTATTCAATTTTCTGGCCTTCCACAGGTAATTACATCTATAGATGCACAAAGCTGATAGAATTTGACAATCGACCCTCACTAATTCACACTAATTAAAGAGAAGCCTAGCTCAGTGAAGCAAAAAGTTTGATTTTCAAAAAACCTTAAGATATATATGCCTTTATAACTTTCAGGGTCACTTTTGAGATACTGGTCCTTATCAGATCAGCTGTGTTTACTATCTAACATAATGTTTAATATCAAAATAGCTATTAACTGCTAAAAATCCTTGAAGTTTACTAATTTTAGCTTTTTTAATATAGCCCCTGCTACCAGTGTTGGTACTTGCTATATTTCATAAGTATAAAAACATGCAAAGGAATAGATAAGCTCCACTCATATCCCCAACACAGACCTGCAGACACAGGCTCAGAGCAGCAGAAAGCTGTCACCAACAGAATCTCACCTTGAGATGTTATATTCTTCAGTAAGAACCTACCTGTGCATGATGTGGCATCTCTGGTCGGGTGGAAAGGCTCGGGCCCGCTCTTTGGTAAGTATCCATCCAAACAGTAGCATTCAAAGCTGCCGTAAGTGTTCACACACCGTCCTCCTTGCCTGCACAGGCCGGAAACCTCACACTCATCTACATCTTGAGACCCACCCCAAATCCAAGAAGGAAAACAGAAAAAGAAAAAGAAAAAAAAAAAAGGGAAGGGGGGGAAATTGTGACAGTCATTTCTCACATTCTCAATCTACCTTTATGAATGGATGCATTTGTTTGCAATTGTATCATGAATTTTATTCTACTCTGTATGGGTTCTTCTCGTATATCCTTTACAGCATAGGTACTAAGAGGTGTTCAATAAATACTTGCCTACATGTTCTAGAAATTTATATTAAACTAATAACCATCACCATCTTTCTGACACCCAACAAAATGAACCCAAAAAAGTATGCTAAAAATAAATTCAATTACCTTAAAATAAGGATGACCTCCACTTCATACTAAAATATCTGAAGGAGAACTCCAAATACAAAACAATTCAAACCAGCGTGAAAAATTCTTCCCAGCTCATGATTATTGGATGGTAAGGCAGATAGTAAGGGGATAATTCAAAAGGGTCTCCCTAATATTACTGAGATTGCAAGGGCTTGAAACAGGCTTCAAGAAGGACAAGATATGCCCGTTGGCAGATGCTCCCTTGACTGAAGATTGGCAAACTATCAGGTAAATGAGTAAAAACCACACAGTAATTCAGAGACTGGAGAAGAAACCTCTTTGCCAGCTAACAGTTTTTACCCCCAAAAGTGGCTTAGAGAACATAATGTAAACCTTTAGGAATTCTACCACAGCCATACACATACCCATATTACTTGGAGAAAAAAGTACCTTAAGTGAAATGGGACTTTTCCCAGAACATGTGCAAGAACCATTGGGGGCACAGAGGACAGGTAACAGCATGACTTAAGAAAGCCTGATGATTCCCAAACTCTGGGATTTCAAAGACCAGTAATTTTGGAAGGACTAATATGAAGCCTTGGCCTTGAGTTAACACTCTGCCTGCTCTGCACCTAGCCTTGGAGGCACCCTCTTTCCTCTTTCTCTCTGTTGGAATCCAGTGGCCTTGCTCTAAGGAAATCCAGGTTGTCATCCTGGAATAAGAAGGCAGAGGTCACTTAGAAGAGGCCCTAAAGATGAGATGCCGTATGAAGTGGGAGGCCACACGGAATGGGAACTAAGGTACCCTGGCCAGATAGGCAGCATCAAGGCCTTAGACATGTGAGAAAGGCCTTCTTATACCTACCAGCCCAGCCCAGCCCAGCCCCCAGCTGAATATAACCATGTGAGTGACAGAATCACCTAGCCATGGAATTGTGAGAATTAATAAATTCTTTAAAGCCAGAGGAGCCAAGATGAGTAGAGCAGCAGAAATCTCCTCCCAAAACCATATATATTTTTGAAAATTCCACAAATACAACTAGAGAGACCAGAAGATACAGGACAACAGCCAGGCTACATCTACACCTGCAAGAAACCAGCACCTCGCGAAGTGGCCCGGCGAGATCCGAGCGCCGCTCACCCCAGCTCCCGGTGGGAGGAGAGGCGTCAGAGTGGGGAGGGAGAGGGAGCCCAGGACTTCTAAACAACCAGCCCTAGCCATCCGGACCAGAGTGCAGACACACAGTGCATGGGGTGCTGGACAATAGGGAAATCGGACAGTAAAACCTGCGAGTAGATCTCTGCAGCCGGCACCCATGAGACAAAGATAAGTGAGTGTGTTGTGAAAGAGTTAAAGGTACAGGGACCCCACAGCTGGACGGAAACATCCCAGGACACTTAGCCCAGCAGCTGGGAATCCCGGGGAACTCCGGGCACCCTAACCCCCTGGGCAGCAGTGCAGCTAGGAGGCCCCTCAAGGAGATAAACAGCCTCCTGCCTGTTTCCCCTCCAACACCGCTCCACCATAGTGGAGCAGTAGCCTGACACCGGTCACACCCACAGCAGCAGGGGAGCTTCTTTCACAGCGGCCGGGCAAGAATTAGATACCCTGTCTGCGTGCAGCTGCCCAGCACAAGCCATTAGGGGTCACTGTTCTCCCAGGAGAGGAAGGCCACAAACCAGCAAGAAGGGATGTTCTCTCAGCCAACACACGCACCAGCTCCCCGCAACTATCTCTATTGTCATAAAAAGGCAGGAGAATTTGATACAGACCAGACTAACCCAGACATCCTCCCCTGAGAAGGAATCTGGGGAGACAGACCTAACCAATCTCCCTGAAAAAGAATTCAAAATAAAGGTCATAACCCTGCTGACAGAGCTGCAGAGAAATATGCAAGAGCTAAGGGATGATGTCCAGAAGGAGATTACAGAAATAAAACAATCTCTGGAAGGATTTATAAGCAGAATGGATAAGATGCAAGAGGCTATTGATGGAATAGAAACCAGAGAACAGGAATGCATAGAAGCTGACGCAGAGAGAGATAAAAGGATCTCCAGGTATGAATTAATATTAAGAGAACTGTGTGACCAATCCAAATGGAACAATATTTGCATTATAGGGGTACCAGAAGAAGAGAGAGAAAAAGGGATAGAAAGTGTATTTGAAGAAATAATTGCTGAAAACGTCCCCAAACTGGGGGAGGAAATAATTGTTCAGACCACAGAAGTACACAGAACTCCCAACAGAAGGGACCCAAGGATGACAACACCAAGACACATAATAATTAAAATGGCAAAGATCAGGGACAAGGACAGAGTTTTAAAGGCAGCTAGAGAGAAGAAAAAGGTCACCTAAAAAGGAAAACCCATTAGGTTATCATCAGACTTCTCAACAGAAACCTTATAGGCCAGAAGAGAATGGCATGATATATTTAATGCAATGAAAAAGAAGGGACTTGAACCAAGAATACTGTATCCAGCACAATTATCATTTAAATATGAAGGAGGGATTAAACAATTCCCAGACAAGCAAAAGTTGAGGGAATTCGCCTCCCACAAACCACCTCTACAGGGTATTTTAGAGCCACTGCTCTAGATGGGAGCACTCCTAAGATGAAATAGATGTTACCAGAGAAAATAAAATCACAGCAAAGAAAGCAGACCAACCAAATACTAACTAAAGGAAAAAAATAAAATCAACTACCCACAAAAGCAGTTCAAGGAAAGACAAAAGAGCACAGAATAAAACAATCAACATATAAAGAATGGAGGAGGAGGAATAAGAAGGGAACGAAATAAAAAATCACCAGACAGTGTCTATAATAGCTCAATAAGTGAGTTAAGTTAGGCAGTAACATACTAAAGAAGCTAACCTTGAACCTTCAGTAACCACGAATCTAAAGCCTGCAATGAAAATAAGTACATATCTTTCAATAATCACCCTGAATGTAAATGGACTAAATGCACCAATCAAAGGACACAGAGTAATAGAATAGATAAAAAAGCAAGACCCATCTATATGCTGTTTACAAAAGACCCACCTCAAACTCAAAGACATGCACAGACTAAAAGTCAAGGGATGGAAAAAGATATTTCATGCAAACAACAGGGAGAAAAAAGCAGGTATTGCACTACTAGTATCAGACAAAATAGACTTCAAAACAAAGAAAGTAACGAGATAAAGAAGGACATTACATAATGATAAAGGGCTCAGTACAACAAGAGGATATAACCATTCTAAATATATATGCACCCAACACAGGAGCACCAGCATATGTGAAACAAATACTAACAGAATTAAAGGAGGAAATAGAATGCAATGCATTCATTTTAGGAGACATCAACACACCACTCACTCCAAAGGATAGATCCACCAGACAGAAAAT